GGGGCCGTGGCTCAGGTGGTCTTTCCTCCCTCGCGGTGCAGGTGGGGCCGTGGCTCAGGTGGTCTTTCCTCCCTCGCGGTGCAGGTGGGGCCGTGGCTCAGGTGGTCTTTCCTCCCTCTCAGTGCGGGTGGGGCCGTGGCTCAGGTAGTCTTTCTTCTCTCTTGGTGCAGGTGGGGCCGTGGCTCAGGTGGTCTTTCCTCCCTCTCAGTGCAGGTGGGGCCGTGGCTCAGGTGGTCTTTCCTCCCTCTCGGTGCAGGTGGGGCCGTGGCTCAGGTGGTCTTTCCTCACTCTCGGTGCAGGTGGGGCCGTGGCTCCAGAGATCGTTCCTCTTGGAGCAGGCAGGGTTGAGGCTGAGGCTATGTCTTCCGTGTTCACATAGTTTCTGGAAGCTGCTACTATGACTGGAGCCCATTGCACTGCTGACACTGTCTCCCGTCAAGGCCTGGGCCATCATGGAACTGGCATTGTTTACTGGCACCTGCGAGTCTCTTCTTAAGATTGTTTCTGGAAGCTGTCGCTGTCAATGCTTCGGGGCCACTGATGTGATCTCCCTCTCTCTCCCAGATTCTGGGTGGACTGCTCTGCTGCTGATGCATTCGCTTGTTCTCTCTCTCTCTCTCTCTCTCTCTCTCTCTCTCTCTCTCTCTCTCTCTCTCTCTCTCTCTCTCTCTCTCTCTCTCTCTCTCTCTCTCTCTCTCTCAGTGTCTCTTTCTCTTCTCTGTCTCCGTCTCTCCTTTCTCTTCTCTCCCTCTGTCTCTGTCTCTGTCTCCTCTTTCTCTCTCCGTCTCTCTTTTCTGTCTCTGTATCTCTGTCTCTCTTCTCCATTTCTGTCTCTGTCTGTATCTCTCCTTTCTCTTCTCTCTCTCCTCTCCCTCTCCTCTTTCTCTCTATCTCTGTGTCTCTGTCTCTCTTTTCTCTTCTCTCTCTCCTCTCTGCCTCTGTCTCTCCTCTCTCTCCTGGACTGCCGGCTTGGCTGATGACATGATGATCTCTCTCTTACACCCGGTTTCTGGACCCTTGAGTGTGTTTTTAGTCATTATTAATTATCTGATTTGTTTTAAATGTCCTTTACATTAATCTTAGCACTGCACTATTCTTTCAGCGTTAAGAGGTTTTTATCTAGTGTCCGGCAACTTTGGAATATTTGAGGGTGAATGTTGTTTTTGTTGTTGGACTAGTGAGCATTGGCAAGAAAGTTAGAATTCTCATGTGCTGATGTTCCTTGTTCTTCCTGTGAGTAGTAAGCTGTGACTTAAGTTTCATACAATTGTAACTTGAAAGAAGTTTTCAGAAGTCAAGAAAAAATTGAGTAATTTAGCTTATAGCTTAGAGCTTTTTTGGCATTTGACATTATCTAGTTGAGAACAGGACTTGAAAGTGCTAAGATATTTTTGAATTTAAATTGGCTTTCCTGTCAGATCAACTTTACTTCAGCATATCTTGACATCAAAAAAGACTCCCAGTAAGCTTGGGGTTATGTATGTATCATATATAATGTGTATTATTCTTAGTGTATAAATTAAGGTTGTTTGTGAATCACATGATTATGTCATATCAGTATTGCTGTGCATAGAAATGTAATTTTGTGGTTGTAATTTCTCAGTTTATGAAGTGAGCAGTTATTTTGATAGTGCTTGATATTGTTGGATTTTCCAGCCTGGTTCCACAGTTGCTTTACCCTAAATAAACATACAGAGACTTAGAATAATTTAAAAACTGTTGGCCGATGACTAGACTTCTTACTGGCTACTTCTTTCTTGATTATTAACTCATAACTGTTAGTCTATGTATTTTCACGTGGTCTTGGCTTACCAGAGAATGTCAGGACCTTTTTGGCGGCTACATGACGTTTCTTCTGGCCTCCCTTTTTCCCTCCGTCTCTGTCTCTTCCTTCTTCTCATAACCCTACCTATACTTCCTGCCTGGCCAATCAGTGTTTTATTCATCACCCAATAAGAGAAACATATACAGAAGGACATCCCCCATCAGCTTGACATTTCCTATTTATTTTTATTTTTTTATTTTATTTTTATTTGATTTGTTTCTTTAAAAAATTACTCTGTGTGTATGGATGTTTTGTCTGTGTACCACATACATGCCTGGTATACACAGAGTCCAGCAGAGGGTGTTGAATCCCTGGAACTGGAGTTGTGGGTGCCTGTGATTTACCATGTGTGTGCTGAGAACAGAACCTGAATCTTCTTGACCATCTGCCAGTGCTCTTACCTGCTGAGTCATCTCACCACCCCAGCTCATCTTTGCAGCAGCAGTTGGTATACATGTTTTGTATCCAGTGTAATTTGTTGTCTATAAATAAGTATTGCCAGCACAATAGTTATGTCATGTAGTAGTTTATTTAAATTTTTTATGCTCAGAATCAAGCCTAGAGCCCTTGTACCTACTAGACAAATGGTGTACCAGAGAGCTATACTCTCAGCCCCAATACCTTATTTCTTATTTTCATATTATTCTCTTTTTTTGCCTGTGGTTATTTATTATAGTTAGAGATTTGTTATTTTCACAATGTTCACTTTATTCTTCCATTTTTAAAAAAATTTCTTTGCTGTAATACTATATTTCAGTCTCTAGCTTTTCAATATTTTTGTCATGATCATTTTGATTTAGAGGCCAGTTACTCTTTTCTTGTGTTGGAGTGGTTTGACAGGGTCCCTGTTCTTCCACTTGGAAGTTCACTTCTGAAGGAAGATTAGGTAGTTTGCTGGCATAAAGAGATGAAAAAGACTGGATAGATGGTTTAATGTTTTATCATGACGAAAAGCTCTTGGATTGTGATTAGAACCCTAAGATACTTTCAGTGATGACCTCATGTTGTTTGTGTCATCTGGTTGGTTCTTAAGGAGCAGGGATTCTAAGTCTTCCAACCATAAGGGCTAACTGTTGAAAACCCTCTGTAGGGAGAGGGCACCCATTTCACCTTCATTGGAGGTAAAATGAATTTCACTATAAAGAAGATGCACTGGTCTCCTTCATACCCTGAGCATAGTATTTATTGAGTTAGTAAATCGGACTTTTGTTTGGTGTAGTTGTAATTAATTTAATTTTGATTTTTGTTTCAGTAAGTAAAATTCTCAGGTTTACAGAAAGCTGTGTGGTGAAGATATTGTTATTAATAGATACCGTGAAGATTTCCCTGGCAGAGCAGGCTATTTAAACATTTTCTGAGGTTGCAAATATGGTTGGTTCCTGAAATCAAGGGAACTTAGTTGTTACTTTTTAGGTGAGGTATTTTAAGGGGAGTTCTTTTTAAATGCTTGACCCAGTTTGTAGTGTCTATAATTATTCAGTATTCAAAATGATATGAAATGTTCACTTGGAGAAAGACAGATGATTATTTTTTTGTTTTTTTGTTTTGTTTTGTTTTCAAGACAGGATTCCTCTGTGTAGTTCTGGCTGTCCTGGAACTCACTTTGTAGACCAGGCTGGCTTTGAACTCACAGAGATCCACTTGCCTCTGCCTTCCAAGTGCTGGGATTAAATGCAGGCATGTGCCACCACCTCCTGACTACAGGTTATTGTTAATAGGAATATTTAAAATACTGTGTACAATGATGGGCTATTTAACCTATACTTTCAGTAGCTGGGCATGTATATTTTTCTGCATTTCATAAACTAATTGTTATATGTCATTTGTATTTCATCTCTGATAGCTAGTCTGTCATGACATGGTTTAAACAAAATGTAATATATGATTACCCAAAAGAAAACATTTCACTTCTCAATAGGAGTATTCAGTATTTAGAAGTAAGACCCAGTTTATCTCCAGCTCCTGTTTGCCTGTAATTCTAGTACTTGAGATGTAAATGCAGGAAAATTTGTAGCCCAAGGCTGTCTTGACTATATATGTAGTTAGAAGCTACCCTAGGACTCTGCTTCAAAATTTAGGAAAAGGAGAACAACAACAATAATAGTTTGCTAAGGACTAGGTAGAGGTGCAGGATAGCAAAGTGTGTGCTTAGCATGCTTGAGATGCTTGAGGTGGGTTTGATATCTGGTACCGGGGGAAAAGAATCCCACAATATCCTAGTATGTCTTTTTAATATTGAACATTCATTTTAAAATTTTTACTACCTTTTAAAAATTGTGTGTTCACACGTGTGCATATATCCATGTGTGTGTGCCAAGGTATGTGTATAGAGATTAGAAAAGAACCTTCAGAGTCAGTTTTCTCATTCCTATATGTCCTAGGAATTGATTGAATGCATGTTGTCAAATGTGGTGGGAAGTGTCCTAATTTGCTGAGAAATCTTCCTGTCCTGTTAAGTCTCTAAGTTTGATAGCTCAGTCATTATATTTCATGTCTTAAAAATTCCTGGTTATTGGGGCTAGAGGGATGACTCATCAGTTAAGAGCACTTGCTGCTCTTCTAGAGGATTCCAGTTCAATTTCTAATACCCACATGGTAGCTCACAATCATCTGTGACTCAAGGCCCAGGGTATCGGACGACCTCTTCTGGCTTCATTAGGCACTGCATGCACGTGGTACCCAGATATGGATGTAGACAAAACACTCATGCTAAAGTAACAATTCTAAAAAGTACTAATTACTAGAGGTGAATTGTATGTGTAAGTATATCTTAATATGTACATATTATATATTATCATATTATAAATTATAAAAATAGGAATACTTTTCAAGAAGTACTGAATAGTTCATTAAGTTCTTTTGGAATTCTCAGGTTTTTAAATTAAAATAATACTTCTGTTTGAAAATTATTGAAATGATAAATGTTAGGGGATTATTAAAGCAGTAGGCAGTTTAAAATTATGTATTTGAAAATGATTGCTTATAAATTTTTGTTAGATTTTATTTTCCTTGTTTTCTAAGGAATAATACATATACAAGTTTTTCTGTAAATGAGTAAATTTATTTATTTCTTATACTCTCCATCTGGATATGAGATTTTAGTTTTTGTCTTTTTTCTTTAAAAATCATGCACTTTAAGAATAGTGTTTAATAAGCCCATTTCTTTTCTTTTTAGCCTTTGGAATTGCTTTGGCACTCATTAGATGAATGGTTAGTTTTAATAGCCACAGAGTTAATGAAAAACAAAAAGGACTCAACGGATATCACTTCTATTTTACTGAAACAAAAAGGCCAGGATCAGGGTGCCACTTCCATTTCACCATTTGACCCTTCTGGACCTGGGAGCTGTGAACACCTGTCCACAGGCACAGGGGACTCTGCAGCAGATGTGCTCTCAGGGAGTCAGGAAGCCCGTGCAGACTGTCAGGATGTTGTTGCTATGACAGCCAACCGACTAAGTGCTGTCATCCAAGCTTTTTACATGTGCTGTTCTTGTCAGATGCCTCCAGGGTAAGAAAGTTTTGACTTAATATATTTTTCCTTTGCTAGATGAAGAAAAGCTGCAATAATTTTGTAATTTTAGTAAAAACAAATAGAATTTGTTGGTTTTTTTATGCCCTATTCTCATTGTTTTAGGATACTTATTGCACTAATATAAAGCTAGTAAAAATATTTAAATTTTGTGAAAGTATATGTATTTATTTTTATGTAAATTTTGAATGCTACTTCATAAAGGGCTGCAGAAAAATTTACAATTTCCAGAAGTCCCTTGTTTATATCATTTGTTAACAACAAGTTGCCTGTGTTACTTCATTGTGCATACTGACTTGGTGACCTCAGTTGCAAAGGAATATGTGTATCTAAGCTCTTCTTTTGGTCCAGGAGCCAGTCCCACTTTATATGTACTTACTGATTTGGATATTATATCGCTACCTTTGTCTTTGTATTCTGATTGCTTTTCCCCTTCCCCACCCAGAATGACTTCTCCTCGATTTATTGAGTTTGTCTGCAAACACGATGAAGTGTTAAAATGCTTTGTGAATAGGTAAGGCTTTCTAGGATTTTCTGTCTTGGCAGCCTTTTCTCTCTGCCTTTTTTATTTCTACTTATATATACTTATTTAAACAGAAAAAAATAATTTTGTTGCCTTTCAAAATGTGGTCACCAACAAAATTATAGCAGGTAGAGGTATATATGTTCTTTCCTTGTACTTGAGTATTGCATATCTGAGTTTATATTTCACTCAATGCTAATTATTGTTCTTTTTATGTTTCTTTTAGAAATCCCAAAATTATATTTGATCATTTTCACTTTCTTCTTGAATGCCCTGAGTTGATGTCAAGATTCATGCATATCATAAAAGCACAGGTACAGGCATTCTTTATCTTGTTGATATAATAAAATAAAATATTTTTATAAAATAAATTATTTATAAATTATTTTTAATTTTAAAATTCTGGGTTTGTTTTGTTTTGCTTTTTGGTTTTTTTCTAGAAAGGCTCCTCTGTGTAACAGTCCTGGCTGTCCAGGAACTCACTTTGTAGATCAGGTTGGTCTTGAACGCATAGAGATTCACCTGCCTGTGCCTCCTGAGCTGGGATTAAAGGCAAGCACAACCACCACCCAGCTAAAATGCTGTTATTTTTTTTTAAAAGTGTTATTTTATTATTTTGTGCATATGGGTGTTTTGCCTGTCTGTATGTCTGTTTCATGTGGTGTCTGGTCCTGTGGAGGCCAGAATTGGGTATTAGATTCTCTAAACTGGATTTATGGACTGCCATGTGGATGCTGGGAATTGAACCCTTGTCCTCTGAACCGCTGAGCCAATTTTCAGATTTTGAGTTTTGTTTAGGAGTTTTCTTTGGGTGTTGCAGTGAGAGGAGATTTCAAAAAAGGAAGAAGATTTTTAAGTAACTTTGGAAAAGTTGAAAGATGTGTGAAATTTTAATTTGCGTGAAAGAGGATGAACATTTTGATCACTGTTCAGATCGGTGCATGGAAATAGGAAAGTGTGTCGTGTAGGTGAGAAGAAACAGTTCTAAAATGCACATCTTGCTCATACACTACAGAGCTTTGATGGAGAGGTTAAAAAAAAGTCTCATTTGTTTCCTGGACTGTTTGTTAATCCCACTACCACAATTGAAAGCCAAATTTGATGCATGCTTTAATTAAATACGGGCCAGTATTTAAGGTTTCCGGAAGATGGTCCCAAATCAGGGTTTATAGCAGATTACGTATTTTCCATCAGATCCAACCAGGGGCAAGGATACATCCTGATGTATTTCCTGCCTGTGAACCTCCCACCCACATGTGATCAAGAACATCTAGTGTCAGCTGTGTCAAACAAACTTGTTTAAGGGAGTAAAGGACAAATGGCTTAATTTCTCCCATAAACAGTAGCCTCCAGTGTTTCAGGAACTCTCTGTCCTTGACTTGTTGGTCAGAGATATTTTTGTTTCATGAATTTCTTAGGCATAGTAGTTAAAACTTCAAATGTAACTTTGGCTCTCAAAGTTAGAAGTGAGTGCTTCAGGAAAACGAGATTATCCTACTATACACATGTACATGTGTACCCCCCCACACACATCTGATTTCAAAAGCTCTCCTTAATAGTATTTGTACAGAAATATAAAATCTCTCCCCTCGTTAACCACTGGTCACCTGGAAACCACAAATGGAAGAAGTTGGCTATCTTTTAGTAAAGGTAGTTAGTAATTATTAATTGTTGTTTTTCCTATTGTTGCAAGAAAATACCCTGACAGGAAGTAACTAAGATAGGAAGTGTTAGGGTTGCTATTGCTGTGATAAGACGCCATGACCAAAGCAAGTTGGGAAGGAAAGGTTTATTTGACTTACACAGTCACATTGCTGTTCATCAGGACAGGAACTCAAACAGCAGGAGCCTAGAGGCAGCAGCTGATGCAGAGACCTTATTCCTCATGGTTTCCTCGGAACCTTTCTTACAGAACTGAGGACTACTGACCCAGGCATGGCACCACCCACAATGGGCGAGCCTTCCCCATCAGTCACTAATTAAGAAAATGCCCTACAGACCTCCCTACAGCCCAATCTTATTGGGGTATTTTCTCAATTAAGGCTCCCCCTTCTGAAATGACTCTACCATGTATCAAGTTGGTTAAAAAACATATATGAAAATCTTCAAGTATACTTCACATTTCACTGTTAATAGTAGTTATATATACACAGATGTTCACATAGTTAGTGTATGTATTATATACACGTATAAAATCAGTGTATGTTACTCCAACAAATATTTAGCTCAAAAACTAACATTATAGTTTAGCTTGAAACCCAGTATTTAGTATAAGTGAAGTGAAGAGTTTTGATGATACTTTGAAAGCTGCTGGAAGAATGTCCTCCTTTGGGTATTGATACTGGCCATGTTTATCCCTTCCCACCTTGGGCTCTGTGCTCCTGCACCACCTGGAGCTTTCCTTTGACTTCTCAAGTTGTATGAAGAACTTGCCAAGCAGATCCTCAGTCTTGCTCTCTGGTCATGACATCTTCCTTCTTGTCTTGTGCTCTCTAGCAAAACCCTCATCTCTCTCCATTGCAGCTTGGTTCATGGTTGGTCAGTTAGAGAACAGTTAGGTGTTTATTTCCAAGCCCCTGATAATTGTATTTCACAGCAATTTTAAATTCAGGATAAATAGCACCTTATTGTCTTTTCACAGTGCCTTCTGGGAGTGTAGCATTAAGTTGTGGGGGCAAAAGTTCACCCCAGCATGTGTCTGTCAGTAAGTTCTATCTCTAGCTTTTCACTGTCCCTCCCGCTGCAGAGGTATACGTCTTTCAGATTGACTTGGCTATTCTTCCTTCCTCCTACAAGCAGGACCCCATCACAGCTTCCTGTACACTCTTCCTTTAGACTGTGCTCGCTTTGATTACCTTATTTGCCTTGGGTCCTCTAACCAAGTGACCACACGAGTGGTAATCTGGAACAGGAACAGGGTTCTTGACCTCTTAACCCAAGAACTGACAGTAAGAGCCTGCACATATTTGCAGAAGTGTCAAGACACCTGTGTTAGAGGGAAGTGATAGTACAGATTGTAGATGGATATACTGTCGAGATTGACTGTGGACCTCATCAGTTGAGAGTACTTCAGAGTCTCATTTATTGTTAGTGTCTTCCTCTTATGGAGTTTGGTTGCTAAGGGACCATGGCAGTTCTGTTTTGATTAATAGTTCAGAACATATAGTCAATTTTTATGTTTCACATGTCTCTTCCCATAATGTATCTGATTTTAATCAAATGCTTGACCAATTATACATAGGCATAAGATGGTAAATAGGGGACTTTCCTGAAAACCTTACTTGAGGAAACAATTACTGCTCATGTGCCTAAAACTGGTTCAGGCCAGATTTATTCTATTTTTTGTACTGGATATATTAGGAGTGCACCTGAATGAAGTCTATACTGGAGTGCATATAGCTCAATATAGGTGGGGATTTTGAGTTGTTTCTGAGGTTTCTTGGTGCATTGTTTGGAGAGACGTGTGTGTGCATACTATGTGCAGATGAAGAACTAGGCTGTTGAGCAGTTAGTAGGGATATGTATGCATAGGCAGAACTAAATAAGGTTCCAGACTGAAGTGTCTCCTACACTTGATTGTCTCAGCTCCTGTATCTTTTACATGGATCTCACTGCTGCTAATTATGTGCTTAGTTCACTTTCACATCATCCCTCCTTCAGCATGTTAGGATGCAGCTCCAGTTATGCCAGTACCTTTGCTGCATCTCCCGAGGGACCCAGTTCTTCTGTGCTTTTCTCTTTATCTCCCTTAAATTGATGTGCCTGTTTTCCTGTGTCCTGAGCAAGTTCTATCCAACTTTACATCATAGTTCAAACTGTGATCCTGTGAAGCTGCTGTCCTCATCCTTTGCATAATTTTTCAATCTTTAGTAACTTTGCTTGACACTGATGAGAACTTGGTATTGTGTACATATTATTTTCTGTATTACCTTCTTTTTTAACTACATCAAGAAGTTCTCATCTGAAATTAAAATTTGCTGCTCTTATATACTCAAGTAACCTGCAGTATTTGCATATACTATATCTTTAATATTAATTTCTGATTAATCATAAAAATTAGAGATGATTTGAGTTTGCTTTCTCTGGCAGATGAGTAAATGTAGTAAAATTCTCAAGAGTTTTTAATTTTCTGCTTTTAAGGTAAAGGAAGGGAAGGCTGAAAGATACTAAAATATCCATTGCCTAAATTCCTAAGGGAATAAAATAAGAATAAGCTAGGCATAAAAGATGAATCTTAAAAAATCTTTTAGTTATGTGTATGTGTGTATGTCTGTGTTGTTATGTGCATGGGAGTGCAGGTGCTTGTGGAAGCCAAAAGAGAATCCCCAAGGCTGGAGTGACTGGCATTTGTGAGCCATCTGGTAGAGTTCTGGGATCTAACTCGAGTCCTCTACAGGAACTGAATGTACTTAACTACTGAGCTATTTCTCAAGCTCAGAAGTTTAATATTTGAAAAATTAAATGAAATAGTAAATTTTTGGGTATGAAAATGTATTCATATAAGCATTATTTGGCTTAAAAGGAATTTAGAGTATATTACTTATATATCTGATGTTGAGTTCTTTGATATAATTTATCAGTTTTTGTTGAAAACATAGGAATTAAATAATTAGGTAAGGTATTTTAATTAATATCACTTCTTTGTGAATGTTTATTGAAAAGTCAGAACACTAATGATTGCATTTTTCCCCTCTGATCTGATAATTAGGTGGTTTAAATACTGATAACATATTTTTAATGTCATTTTTTGGGGTAGCCATTTAAAGATCGCTGTGAATGGTTCTATGAACATTTACACTCAGGACAGCCAGATTCAGACATGGTACACAGGCCAGTGAATGAAAATGATATTCTCCTGGTTCACAGAGGTATGTTTGACAAAAAAAAAAACCAAAAAAAAAACAAAAAAACTGATAGATGGATAAGCCATAAAGTAGTTATTATTGTAAGTTTTAATATGTTAAAATTAACCAATGCTACATATTTAGATTCTATTTTTAGGAGTAGCTGTGAAATTGTGTCAAAAGCAAATTGTGCAAAGCTAAAGCAGGGGATTGCTGTCCGATTTCATGGAGAGGAAGGCATGGTGGGTATATAAAATATCCTAACACACTTACAAAGTTAAATATTTATCTGATAAATTAAGTCATTGAGTATCATTTAAATTTTGGTATTATTTAAGAGAAAATGTTTAAGTGCAGTATATTTCTATTGTTGCTAAATTTTATTTTCTTGAATTCAGGGTCAAGGTGTTGTGCGTGAGTGGTTTGATATTCTGTCCAATGAGATAGTCAATCCTGATTATGCACTGTTTACCCAGTCAGCAGATGGTAAGTCATGCTGTGACCTTTCTGTGACTTCCATGTTCATCAAACTATGTCAGAGAATTTTGTCTTTGATTCCTTTAACAGTCCTGTTGTCCTGGTAGATGCTGCCATGTCATTGAAGAGAAAACTTGAAGTTCAGAGTTTTGTCCTCACATAGCCTTCTTCTAAACAGTTTCCAAATGCTAGTCTCAAGGCCCTGAAAACTTCTTTAGAACTTTAAAATTTGTTCAAGAGTTGTCTGTTACTTTATTACCACTCTTAGTTAATGTTTTCTTGTATAAAATGGTAGTAGGTAGACTTTAAAGAAGTCTTTATTTGAAAACAAGAATTGCTAATCCTATTTGTATTTCCAAGTTGTAAAGTCTATTGATAATGAAAATCAAAGTGTAGTATTTGTGATGTTACATCTTAATTCATTTCTTTATACTGGCATTATTTTAAGTCCTTTTAAGAGATTCAAGTCAGGCAACTCAAAAGTGTGCACTTTGGTTGGAGAGATGGCTCAGCCCTTAAGTCTAGGCTCACAACTAAAAATAAAAAGCATGTATTTAACCTTATAAGATGAACCACTTATTTTTGGAAATGGTTCTTGCAACCTATGTAAAGATATAATTTGATACTGCAAACTAAATGCTAGTTTGAGAGGTATATTTGAGAACTATCTAACTTAATAAAGACATATTTGAAGTGAAGATAGATTTCAGTTTTCAAATGCTTTGTATGGTTGCTTATTTTTCCTGGAAATATTTTTCTCCTGTATTTGCTCTTGTGGAAGAAGAGAATATCTTACTATTTATAACTTTTGACTGCTCCACCAAAGTGGCAACAAGTGCCTATTGAATGATTAGTGTTCAGGGAAGCTCCAGATGGGCCACAGGGAGGGCAGAGGGTATTTGCTGACCCGTGCCTCTGGTACACCTGGGTTAATGGAAATCACGTGGGGATGTGAAACTGCCTGCTTCAACTCTGTTACCTCTGACTGTTTGCTGTGAAGTGAATTTGGTGTTCGTGATTTTTATGACGAGTTTAATAAAACAACAAGTTGAATTATATAGGCTTTTTTTAAAGCTACTATAGACTTCTCTGTGTAGTATCTTACTCTGAGTCAGTTGAGTTGACATGTGGAGTCATTAGAAGTACTTCCTAAGTGATGCAGGGGAGAGCAGAGTGTGTGTAATCATACAGACAAAGGTTTTGATGGGTTCATTTTGTAATTCATCCAAGTCTTCTCTTGGGGGTTAATAGTAGTAGTAACATAAAAGTCAGGTAGAATATTCCTTGTTATTACGTGTGGTTGTCATGAAGGAATGACATTTGGGATTTAAGAATTCTTGATGTGGGAATTGTTTAGTTAGACCTAATGTCTTTAGTATTGTTTAAAAAACTTGTTTTCTTATCAAATTAAGATAGAGACACAATGTAGTTCAGTTATTAAGTTTGGCCTCTGCAATGATAGTAGATGTGAATCCTGGTTCAGTCACTTTGTTTCCTGTGAATATTGGGTCAGGAACTAAACCATTCTGAACCTCAGACTCCTCACCTAACTAATCATGATGAGTTATCTGTATTTAGAATAAGAATTTAGTAAGGTGATACATGAAAACACATTAGAGTGTGAAGTAAATATTAGATGTCTTACTTTTGTTTTTGAGATATTTTCTCTTGTGTAATAGAATTTCTATCTGAAAAATGTTCACTATTTCTTGAAAAATATAAACCATTTTGTTTGAAAAATAATCAGATTTTAAATTGTTTTTAGATTTTTGTTTTTGTTTTTGGAGACAGAGTTTAACCCTGGCTATCCTAGAACTTGCTCTGTAGACCAGGCTGGCCTCAAACTCAGAGATCCGCCTGCCTTTGTCCTCCCAAGTGCTGGGATAAAAGGCATGCACCACCACTGCCGAGCTTAAAAACTTTTTAGATTTTTAAAAATTATTTTTAATATGTGTATCTATGTGGGTATGTTCATGCAAATGCAGATGATCATAGATGCCAGAGGCATCAGACTTCCCTGGAGCTGGAGTTACAGGCAACTGTGAGCTACCAGATGTGGGCTCTGAGAACTGAACTCTGGTCTTCTGGAAGAGCAGATGTGCTCCTTACCACTGAGCATCTCTCCAACCTAGTTAAACAGTTTTTGATACTGAAACTAAGAAGCTGGCAGGCTCACAGATATATTTAATTATAATGTTTAACACAAACTTTATTGTTTTAAGTAGTTTAAGTAAAAAAATTCTTTCCTGAAAATTTTTGCTTATGTAATATTTTTAAATTTTCTTTTATCTATTCTTTTTAAGAACCTAGTTTTCTCAGAAACTTGTTAGTGAAAGAATGTGCAGAGGTAGGAGAAGAAAATAGAGTCACCAAAATCTTTGCTGGTACATCTATAATCCATTACTTAGCCAGGAAAAAATGATTATTTTCAGCATATTTTATAGAATTATGGTTATATTTATCTTTGAAGTCTTTGCTACTGTTGTCACATCTTGCCTTGGGATAGGAAATTATTGTGAGAGGCAGCTCAGAGTGAATGATGTGTTTTGCTTGCCTACTAAATCATTCAAGTATAAGTTTCCAAATTTGTTACTTCACAGCTATAGACAGGTCACAGCAGTTTTGTCCAGTGTTGCATGGGCAAATCAAATATTTATAAAAACACCAAGTGAATTGTTGTCAAAATAAGTATTTGAAGTGATTAGACATTTCATTTTCTAATACCTACCCACGTTTCTTTGCTGCTATTTTATTAGTTTTATCAGTTAGGCTTCGTTTTAGTCTTGTGGTCCAGAATGGTAGTGTAAAGCGTGAACTCACTGTATATGTTACTAGATGAATGAGTAAATTTGTAATCCATGTTAATGACCAGAGAAAAGTATTGAAGAAGCAATAAAGTCAAGATGTGGCTTTAGATCTTGCCATTGTACTAGTTGTTGTAAAATATAAAATTCACCTTCGAATACATTTGAAAGTAGATCATGTGCTGGTATTAAGTACATTTGCTGTGCTATGCATCTGTCTTTTCCATCAGCCGAAGGAGAGACTCTGTACCTTTGGTTCAGCTCCTTCCAGTTTCAAGTAACACTAAGTTATTGTGACGTTCTAAATTTGTCTGTTCCATATAGTTCATAGAAATGAATCACACTGCTATGTAGGTTTTAGCAGTAATCACATCCTTGCTGTAGTTGTCTAAACTTGATTATTTGTCTTTTGAAAGATTTGGATGAGTTTTAGATGTAGTAGATTTTCTGATTGTTAGTAGGCATTAATTGGCATCACATTCACTGTTTAGGTCTATTACTAAAGAATGGCTATTTCCATCGTAATGTGTATCATAATATGCAAAATCTAGTGAGTACTGGGCATGTATAGATGAATGAAGTAGTATCTGCCCAAGTTTATAGCTGAATAGCTACTGCCACAGTACCTGGAAAAATTTATATATATGTGTGTGATCTTTTACTGTGTTTTACCAGGATCTCTTTGATATAAGACAGATATTTTTATAACTTTCTGTACATAGATTATTCTGAGAAGTGTGAATTAATGGTTTTCTTTTATACTCCAATTTTCTGTGTCTATACATTCCACAAAGAACTGCATAATGTCACTATGGCCTTTGAGTTAGGTATGGATAAATTTACCTGCATTGAATTGTTCTCTCTTGTGCATATGGATCATACTACTTTGTATTTATTTCAATAGGAACAACTTTTCAGCCCAATAGCAACTCCTATGTCAACCCCGATCACTTGAACTATTTCCGGTTTGCTGGACAGATCTTGGGATTAGCTTTGAATCACAGGCAATTGGTCAATATTTACTTCACGCGATCATTCTACAAGCACATTCTCGGTATGGGTTTATTCCTTCCGTGGACATTCGCATTGCTGTTATCACAGCTTTTTAAAGAGAACTGATAAGCATTGCCATTTTTGTTGAAATAATTGCTGTTCTGATTTGAGGCCATATGTGTTTCTAAGATATCTGGGGGTTGGAGGGAGAGGAAAATGTCCTTTTAAGGAGGAGCACTTTTAGACTTTTCCCACTTCCATTTGAGTGTGGATACGCTTATATAAAGCATCCATTTTTATGTGAGTGTACCTGAAGTAATTGTCAATTCTGAAGCTTATAAGAGGTTCCTAAATAGCTGTTCCAAAGAAAGACTGCATTGTAGCAATGTAGAAGGAACAGCAGCTTCATTTAATGGACTTCTAAATTTAGAAATTAGTGTCCATTTAAAACATGCTCAAATTTGATTAAAGTTTGCTGTTTTTCAGAGTATCTGTAGAGGGCAGCATTTTACCACTAAATACATAAAGGAAAGTCAGAAACATGTATTCTAACTGTTGGTTTTGCAATTTTTTTTAAGGTATTCCTGTAAATTACCAAGATGTAGCATCTATTGATCCAGAATATGCCAAAAATTTGCAATGGATTTTAGATAATGACATTAGTGACCTGGGTCTAGAACTGACTTTTTCTGTTGAGACTGATGTGTTCGGAGCAATGGAAGAGGTGCCTTTGAAGCCTGGGGGTGGAAGTACTCTTGTGACACAAAACAACAAAGTGAGTATTGGCAGTTTTACCTTAGCCATTCCTAACGTGGTCCCAGTCACCACGTTCTCTAAATTATTCCAGCATTTTCTGGAAGATATACTTTGTCATTGCTAGTAGATGAAAGTACTTAAGTTAACCAAACTATATCACATTGAAGACTCTAGTTAGAAGACTGTTTCCTTCTAGTGCTGTGATGAGATGGTTAGCAAGGCAGTCTAGAACACTAGTTGATTGTGGAAGTTAGGCTGCTGCATTCTAAAAAATTTGATTGAAAATATAAACTAAATGATGGTAATATGTGCAGTGATCACTATTACTAGATAGTGTTAAAAGTTAGATGTTAAAGCATTTTTATTTGAATGTATGTATATGATGGATGCATGTGTGTGAACAAGCGTGTCTCCAGTGCAGATACATGTATATATATACTATGTGACATGTATATATATGATACTTTCTAGAGTCCAAATTCAAAGAGAAGGTGAGTGTGGGTTAATGTGTGAAGTTGGTTTTAAGCTCTGTGGAGCACATTGACTTCCTCATATGTTTTCAGACACCCGAGGACAGGCCTGCAGCAGCACAGGGAATATCTTCAAAGAGAAAGGGATGGCCGAGAGGGTGCCACTTTTATTCTCTCTGTGTGTCTGAGTGGTTGGCTGACACTGTTTTTGTTGTTCTGCACACTTTGTGAGACAGTATCTCAGGGAACCTGAGGCTCACCATTTTGCCTACAATTTCTGCCTAATGAGTCACCTATGGCTATCCCCACAAGGTTGGGGTTACAGATCCACACCTCCTTTCTTGACTTTCATTTGCATTCCAGGGGTCTGATCTTGGGTCCCTAAGCTTATGTGGCAAACACTTTTCTCACTGAACTGTCTTTTCCGCACCAGATTAAAGTGTTTTGACACAGAAAAGAAATCTCAGTGTTTAAACTTTGTGTGTGCTTTCATGTTCCAGTAAGTACTACCTCTTGATTATATATATATATATATATATACATATACCTTAATTGCATTTATTATATGCCACCTATACAAGATACTTGTTTTCAATTTGACTTAAAAATCGATAACATTTAATATAATACAGTTTTATGTTGCTGGATATATCTGTCTTAGTGTTTCTATTGCTGTGATGAAACACCATGACCAAAAGCAAGTTGGAGAGGCAAAGGTTATTTGATTTACATTTCCACATTGCTGTAATCACTGAAGGAAGTCAGTACAGGAACTCAGACAGGGCAGGAACCTTGGAGGCAGAGGCCATGGAGGAATGCTGCTTACTGGCTTGTTACCCATGGCTTGCTCAGTCTGCTTTCTTATAGGACCCAGGACCAGTAGCCCAGGTACAGTTCCACCCATCATGGGCTGGGCCCTCCCTCACCAGTCACTAATTGAGAAATACCCTAAGCTGGATCTGAAGAAGGCACTTCCTCAGCTGAGGCTCCTTCCTGTGATGACTCTAATTTGTGTCAATTTGACATACAAAACTAGCAGTACAATATCTACTGAAATTTTGTAGCCTGTAGATTTAGTAAAATGTTGAGTATTTTTAGAAGACCCAAAGACAAAGGCACATCTTTTAAAAGTGTGCTTATTCTTTGAGAGTTTTGTGCAGTGTATTTTGATCATCTCTTCCACTCCTCCAAGATCCACTCCCACCTTCTTTCGCTCCATCAAGCCTTTCTTTCTAAAATCAATTTCTGCCATCTAGTTCCTCCTTTACCTCAGGGAGTGGGGCCATCTGGTGGTGTCTGGCTCACCTGTCAGGAGCTGTACCCTTAAAGAAAACCGACTGTTCCCACCCCCAGCCCCAGAAGCCATCAGCTTACAGTAGTTCCTTGGGTATGGCGTGGCTCGTAACCCTTCCCATCTGTATTAGACACCACTGCTGTGAATTCAGGAGGCAGTAGTCCTGTCATGTTTACAAGGAATGTTTGATTCGATTAACCCTGACATCTGGCTCTCATGAATTCTGCTTCCTCGTGATCCCTGAGCTGTGGGGAGGGGTGTGATATAGAGTTTATGGCTGCGCCCTCCACTTACACTTACTGTCTGCACTCTGACTGGCAGCCACTGAACCAAGAAACTTAGCTGATGAGGTATGAGAACTGCACCTATCTATGGCTAGAGAGTGATACAAAATTAGAGGGCAGTTTGATCCTGTGTCCATTTAGAAAAATATTAGTAGTAGGTTCATTCCTGGGGCCTCTGAGCTCCCCAAACATGAGTTCTTTGCCAGACTTAGTACTAGGCTGTACTGTGGAGTGGGTCTTAACTTCCTCCTGTGGAGTGGGCCTTCACTGCAGTCAGGAAGTGGTTGGTTTCCCCCATGACATCTATGCTGTTATTGTGTCTGTTAGCAGAGCGTCTCATGTTGCTTGTTATTATAGCTCACAGGGTTCAGAGCTGAGAAAGACTGTTGATGACTCTCACCCCCCAGGAGCACCTTCCAGTGCTATGAAAGCTAGCCAGCAAGGAGGAAGCTCCCTGGTCACTACCCATTTGATTTCTCCATGTACTGTGCTCAGTGTTTGTGGTGTTGTCAGCAATAGGGACTTAAATCAGGAGCAATTCAGTAGCCTGGACTGAACATAGGTCTCAGGGGTATGTTGACCTACAACTTGAGGGGAACTATCTCATTCCTTGCATTGGGCTTTTTTTTGTCAATCATGGTCACATTTCAATACTCACTGACTTTAATAGTCTGTCCCATTGAAATGAGAATATGAGAGAGAATGATAAGTGAAAAATTACAAAAATTGGTTGTTTTGGATAGTAGTTTATAAAATATATTCTTAGTTTTACATAATTGTGACTTGAAAACTTTAGACTTTATATTTTATCCTCACAAAAAAAATCAAGTTCAGGAATTGGAAATAAAATTGGGAGCTGAAGCTTTATTCATACATACTTAGGGATATTTAGAGAGATTTATACACAAGGACATGGAAGCCTAAAGCCACAGACATGGCATCCCCAGTCAGCCAGCTATAGGGTAACTCGGTCAGTGCTGAGCAAGACAAGAGCTTTTTAGTAGTGTTTGTATCCATGACTCAGCACAGCTAGCCCTTGGGCAGAGTGAATGTTGAGGCCATGGCTTATCACTCAGGATCTGGAGCCCACAGTTCCAAGTTCAGGACCTGAGCAGCTCTCGATCCTCCTTCACTCTTTGATGATGCAAGTGGTGACTGCTTTGCCTACCAGGAGGATACCCAGTCCTAGGAGGCTGCTTTCCTTGTGTCAGGTTATACATGGTTGCCAAATGAGGTGGGGGGGAATCGTGAGTGTGGACTGTGATAGCTCTGTAGCCTCAGGGTCATGGAGAATTCCTAGCCTGATGTTGTATAAACATGCTGGCTTAGTGCCTTAAAAACAGTATGAGATAAATGCCAGGACAGTAGAAGGAAAGGGATCCTATTGCTGAGGCAAAAACCAAAGAGGAACCTGGAGGAAAGGGTCCTCTGGCTTTCATTACAGGCCATCGAGAAGGAAAATCAGAGCAGGATGCTGGTGGCAGCAGCTGATGCAGAGAGCACAGACTGCTGTGTACTGGATTGCTCCCCAGGGCTTGCTCAGCATGCTTCCTTATACAACCCAGGACCACCTGCCCACGAGTGGCTTCACTCACAGTTGCTGGGTCCTCCCACATCAATTATTAATCAAGAAATGCTCCACAGACTTGCCTACCTGATGGACACATTCTCAGTTAGTCCCGATTCTCAGATGATCCGGCGGTGTCATCATCGCAGCAGGCTTTCTTCATTCCTGGGGGTGAGAAGTCTGTGTAGCATTTGCATCATAGGTTTTAACTCAACAAAATCAGACTTAGAAGCACTTAACAAAAAAAAGCCATAAATGATCTAACATCTGATAGAGTTTATGTACACATATGATAATTCTGTGCCAAACACATTTTTTATTACTTGCTGAATTTTAAGTGATTCTGTTTCCTATGAGCAAAATGTGATTTAAGAGAAGATGCATTGTAATTCTAATGTTTAGGAAATTGAAGCAGGAGGATTCTAATTTTAAGACAATCCTAGGCTACCCATTTCAAAAGAAAACAGGAAAGTAAATTTAAAAAACAGATAAAGTAAGCCTTTTTGTTTGCTTGGTTTAGATTTTTAAGACAAGGTTTCTCTGTGTATCCCTGGCTGTCCTGGAACATGCTCTGTACACCAGGCTATCTGCCTCTGCCTCTGAATTTCTGGGATTAAAGGTGTGGGGCCAGTTTTCAGTAAGCTGCTTTAACTCAAAATTGAACTGTCTATGGTAAAATTACCCAGGTTCAAAGTATTCACAAATGTATTTGATAGATGTATACATTTGATTTATAGCATACTATTGAACATAAGGTAGCAACACCTTTTTTTTTTTGCATCTTGGAATATATGTTGGTAAAGAAATACTTTCCTTTGCCTTCAGAGATACTACATTCTAGTGAGGTACTTTGTTCCAAAGAACTGAAGTGTAAACACACTGAGACCTAAGCAGGCTGCATTTGGGGAATAGCCGAGTGGAATGGGATGCTGTTAGCACCAAAGTAGAGTCAGGATTATTTATGGCCTTAAAGACTAGGAAGTATATTTGAATTTTATTTTCGACTCCCAGGAAGTCAGTAAGGAGAAGAGCAGTGTGACTTTAATGTATGCCACCTATATATATATATATATATATATCAGTTCACTCTGGCTGTGGGGTGGAGAAGTAGCAGTTGAGTGGTGCAGTTGGGAACAGGGATGACTGACATGTCCAATAATCTGGTGGTGTGCTGGAGTTCTACAGAGCCAGATCGAGAGTGCCTATGCATGGTGTGCAAGAAGTCATGGGAATAGTTGCAAAGATTTGGGCCTGATGACTTGGAGAGTGTGTTTAGTGGTTTGCTGAGGTTGAATATTGTGCCAAGTTAATTCTAACCCTTTGTCGCTTACATAAGAAACAGCTGTATCAGTACTAGCTTAACTATATGAAATTTAAAATGTAATAATGATCACAAACCTTTTTTATAGGCGGAGTATGTCCAGCTTGTTACTGAACTTCGAATGACAAGAGCCATTCAGCCTCAGATCAATGCTTTTTTGCAAGGTTTTCATATGTTCATTCCACCTTCCCTCATACAACTGTTTGATGAGTATGAATTGGTAAGGAAGAACGTGTTCTTTCTTGTTACACTAGAGCACAACTCCATTTAATGTAATTCAGAGATACTTTGAGGGGTGATGATGTAATCTTCTGGTACAACACTTGTCTAAAATATACAAGAAAGGGGTTTCATTCCCAGAACCATAGAAAATAAAAGCAGAAGTAATTTTGGACTATTGAATGGAATTTATTTAATGAGGCATTAGAATTTATTCTTAGAAATTTGTAAGCAGATATGTGGTTTTACTTCTCTTAAGCTGAATAACCATATTAACAGTTCCTTAATGTAAAATGTGGTGAGGTGGGATAAAGAGAAAAATAAGTTTTTAATGTCTTTGGTGTGGAAGATGTGGAAGGCCTATCTTTCCAGTAGCTGTGTATTCCATGCTGCTTCTGAAATTCTAACTTAGTCAAATGGAGGTGAAGGATGCTATTCCTCGCCCCATGCTTAAAGAATTAGGGGGGCTTTTTTTATTGTTGTATTTGTTTGTCTTCTCTACTTTCCTATTTTAGAGAGAGAGAGAGAGAGAGAGAGAGAGAGTGTGTGTGTGTGTGTGTGTGTGTGTGTGTGTGTGTGTGTGTGTGTGTGTACCATTACCATGTATATAATTTTATAATGCTCTATTTCCATTCTTAGTGTGGTCTACTTTCTTTGTTCATGTCCCCAATGAAGGTTTTGTTTTGTTCTTCAATTTTCCTGCCTTTTACTGTGACCTAATAGAATTTATACTTTTATATTACTTATGTCTGATTTTTGTCTGTTTCCTTTTTGTTGTTGTCTAAACCCTTAAATAGACACAGCATTTTAGTGAGTATAGCTGCTATAGTAGTATTTCTCTTACTACTGAGTATCTGACAGAGGAGCTTAAGGGACGAAGGGTCTAATTGGTTCATGGTTTGAAGGTGTGTGTGTGTGTGTGTGTGTGTGTGTGTGTGTGTGTGTGTGTGTATGTATGTATGTATGTATGTATGTATGTATATTTCATTATGGTGGGGAAAGCAAGAGCAGGGCTGCTCCTGGCTGTGGTCGCATGGGGCATTAAAGATGCTTGTTCACATCTTAGTAGTTACACCAGGAAGGAAACACCCAGAGACAAATTAGACCGAGTGGCCTTACATTGGAGCAACTGGACAAGGATTGGTGTTAGGTCTTTAAAGAATTCCATCTTGATGCTTCCTATAGAGCTGTTAAATTCTTTATCTCCTCTTGTTTTAACTTTGGTAAATCATGTGTCTAGAAATTTCTCTGTTTCTTCTAGCTTAACCAACTTAGTATAATACGTTTTCAAGGTATGTCTATGATTTTCCAGATTATATTGGTAACTGTTATAATGTCTTTCTTTTCATCTCTGATTTTATGAATTTTAATCATCTCTTAGTTTTGCCAAGGGTTCCTTTATTTTATCTGTATTTTCAATGAATCAACTCTTTGTTTCATTGATTCTTTGTATTTTTAAAGTTTCTATTTCAGTAATTTCTGCTATGATTTGATACCTGGTATTTTTAACTTTAAAAATTATGTTTGCTTGTCTGTCTGTCTGCTTGCTCTGGCATGCATGTGAGTGTACATGTAGAGGGCAAAGGACAGCTTGTGGAAGTTGGTTCTTTCCTTTGGCCACTTGGGCTTCTGGGATTTAATCAGGTCATGAGGTGTGGTGACAGGTGACTTCACCTGCTGTCTCCAAATTCCTGTTTTAAATGTAGGTGTTTATAGCTATGACCTTCTCTCTTAGGGCTGCTTTCATTGTGTCCTGTAGATTTTGCTGTAGTGGTTGTTCTTTGAATCCTACCTTTTTTTTGTGTGTAGTTTCCCTTGCACCTTTTTTTTTTCTGTTGTGGTCAGATAGAATGCAAGAAGTTAATTTAGTTCTGTGTGTTTGTTGAAACTTGCTTTGTGTCCTAATATGTGATCTTAATAAATGTGATATTTATACTATGTAGGTTACACCTAGTTCTAACAATTGTTTTGTATGTGCATCTATGAGTATTCACACACATTTGTGGTTTTTATTTGTGTTTGAAGACAGGGTTTCATGTAGCCTAGGCTGGCCTCAAAGATGCTGTTTAGCTGAGGGTGACTTTGAATTTCTAAATCATCCTGCCTTCACCTCCAAAGAGCTAGGATTACAGGTGTAGACCACTTTGTTGTATCTTAAACATTTAATTCTTTTATTGTATTGTGTCTTGGTGATTACCTTTTAATCCCAGCATCCAGGGGGCAGAGGCAAGCAGATCTCTGTGAATTCAAGGCCAGCTAGGGATACACAGTAAGACCCTGCCTTACCATCCCCCCAAAAGCCTCAAAGTTTAAAAAAGGAAATAAATTAATTGGAACTTAACAGTATTTTTACTATATGTACTTTTTATTGTGAATTTCCCTTTTGTTATGTCATCCTCACTTTTTCTATAGTTGTTACCTCTCTAGAGGTGGTGGGACCTGGAAGAATGGAGCCCATAAATGAGGTGGATAAAGTCTCATGCAATAACCAACTTCATTCTGAGCATCAGACAATTTATATTCTAAGTGCTAAGAGGAGTCACATGAATAAAGTGTATAATCAGAGTCACACATGGTGTGCAAGTCACACATGGTGGGCAAATCACACATGGTGGGCAAGCCACATGCAGCAAAAATCTTTTCTATAGAGGGATATAAACAAATAATAATAGCCAGTTGTAGTGTATAATCTGAAGTAAACTCACTCCTTTCCACTACACCTGGGAGGAGCATGAAAACACATGCCAAGAACAAACCTGTGTTTTGAAGAAATCGAGGTCACAAGACTCTTGTCTTGGTTTTTTGGCATTTTTCTCAGAAGCATTCAGAAATGTCCGTATATAGCTCCCTTTTTGTACTGTGTTCTGATAATAAAATAATAAATAAACCAATGTTTATTAAGTGTGAAAAATAAAGCAAAACAAAACAAATCTCATGCTGCCTTTAGTTCTTGCATGGAGACAAGAGGCCAGTGGATTTCTGTGAGTTCCAGGCCTTTGAGACTCTTGTCTCAAAACAAAAAAGAAAGAAAGAAGAATAGGAGAAAGAAAGTTTTTTTCTTTCCTTAAATTATAACAAATGTGATATTCATAAAATAGTTCCTATTTCTTAAGAGTGCAATTGCAATAATTATTTCATAGCTTTATTCATAATTATTATGAAAGAATAATGATATTAAAGCTTATCTTTAGTCTGAAAGGGAGGATGATTAAACTCAGGAATTATAAGAAACATGTAAAATTCACTCCCTTGCTCTTTTGCAGGTCTGTGTCAGCCTGCCAGGGAGCAGAGTTTTCTCAGGTGGTTAAGTAAAGAAGTCTTAACAAAGGGACTATTATATCAGTGTTTTTAAGGAGTAAGGGAGATCTGGAGACAGTAGTAGGAAGCTTTTGTTGTGACTACTGTTGAAAGAGACAGCTCAAGAATTGCAGTGAAGGGCCATGTGGGAGAGTGAATCGCCAAGGAGAGGCTCTGTGGTACTGGTTACAGTTTAAGAGACAGGGTTACTACAAAACCATAGCATTAAAGCAAGAAGGGAACAGAGATCTCCTTACCTGTGGGCCTACCTGCTTCTCTGTCAGTCTGCAGAGAGTATGTCAGGAGCTAAGGGATACACACCAACAGTTCTAAATCCTGTGGTCTTGGGATGATCTCTTATACAAGAGCCTTTGTTTAAGTGGGCTGTTACACCAGTGGATAGTTGCTGCATTTGAATTTTAAATTAGAAGTGAGAAGTGCTTTATTAATTGTTAACATGAATAACATTTAGAAATGAAAAATAGTTCAAGAAAAGTGACCCCATTTTTGTAAATTTGTGAAGTCTAAAATAAATTATTAGATTCTCATATCTGCTTCTGTTATGATCAGTTGCACTTTGTTATTTGGTTGAACTATGTGAAGAAAATCCAGTTTCATATAGAAAGCATGGAAAAGCAAGACTCACTGGCCTACTGAATAGATTTCAGAACTCCTCAAGTTTCCCAGACTGCCCTGTGTTAGTTCTGCTGGCACATATGCTGCCCTAGCTATTGAAAATTATGGCTGAAGTCATTCCCTCATCTCACTGTATGGATTCTAACTGTGAACCCTGGACTGACTTACTGGAATACTTGTTGATGGATGTTTGGGCTTCCTTGATTTAACTTTAGTTATCCGGTTTAGAGTTGTGTGTTTGATAATTTTGGAAGAAAACCAGTCAGCTACTTAGGAGGACTGAGGGTGTTGCTTTGTGGTCGTGTGCTTGCCTAGTATATACAAGGCCCCTAATATCCATGCCTAGCACTGCAAATAAAGCCACTGGGAAATACTGCTTTTTTATTACCATGGAGAACAATAACTTCAAAAGATCTGAATCACTCCAAAATAGAGAATTCACGTGAGGCTGAATCTTTTTTTAATAAAGAAAAAATGATTATTTTTGATGAGCTTTCCGTTTGTTTAGTATTCAGGCTTTTGTTGTCACTTTCATGTTGAGAGTATGATCTCGTGGAATTAACATATTTGTAAAGAATACTAAAATAAAAATAAAGTGAACCAGATAGAATACTTAGAAAATTATTGTATATAGAAATTTTTGTTGCATATGTTTGCTATAAATATACAAGCTACCACTCCTTTTATGTTTTAGATTATATTAAAGTGGATCCATCCCCTCATGTCAAGTTTGAAATATCACCATGGAGGGTTCTGCCTTATGCAGTGCTTATTATTGATGGCATGTAGAAACTGTCACAGAAATAAACCAGGTTTATATGGGATTAGTTTCTAATTAAGGCAAATTTACTATTTAAATGGAATGACTATTTTTTTCCCCAAGAAGATTAATGAAATATTTTTCTTCTTCCCCCAAGGAGCTACTGCTTTCTGGCATGCCAGAGATTGATGTGAATGATTGGATAAAAAATACAGAATACACAAGTGGCTATGAAAGAGAAGATCCAGTCATTCAGGTAACACCCCTCTGGAGCTTAGAATGAAGTTAAGCTTGCCATTTAATTTTGTAAGCTCTTCAGCTGTATTGGAAGGGAATCCACATCCATTAACAAAATAAAGATTTTGCATAAATTCTTCTTTGGGGGATATTGCATATGAAAGTCTTGTGTGAAATCATCTTTGATAAATGAGTTTCAAAGAATGAAATGTGCTTTATGAATATTGCATAATCTCTGTTTCTAATAAGTCTACATTTGCCCTGAAATGTGAGCTAAATTGTGGTTATTCTTGTAGTGGTTCTGGGAAGTTGTGGAAGACATTACTCAGGAAGAGCGAGTTCTTCTCTTGCAGTTTGTTACTGGCAGGTAAGAAGTGCTTTCATGTATTGCACTTCATTTCTAATGGCCAAGACAGTAATCACAGAGAAAAACAACCAAAATGAAGAATCAATACTCTGAATTTGTTTCTTCCCTCTCTGTCCATATTTTAGATATTAAACAAGTGATTATTTGCATATTGAAAATAGAAAACATTTATAATAGTGCTAAATCTTTAATATAGTTCAGAAACTTTAATTTTTAATGTATTTTATAATTTTGGTTGGTTTAACAGTAAAGACACTCAGTTTGCGTGGTCACACACACGAATACACAATTTCTCTCATACACAGTATCTTAATTTTGGTTTCTGTTGTGTGACAAAATACCATGACCAGAAAGCAAGTTGGGAAGGAAAGGGTTTATATGGTTTACATTTCTACATTGTAGTCCATCATTGCAGGAAATCAGGACAGGAACTCAAAGAGGCCATGAACCCAGAGGCAGGAGCTATGCAGAGGCCTTGGAGGGGTGCTGCTTACTGACTTACTCCATATGGCTTGCTCAGCCTGCTTTTCTATACAACCCATAGCTACCTTCCTACCCCACAGTGAGCTATGCTCTCCCACATCAATTGATAATCAAGAAAATATCCCACAGACTTGCCTACAGGCCAATTTGATGGAGACATTTTCTTATTTGACGTTCCCTCTTCACAGATGACCCAACCTTGTATTAAATTGATAAAAGCCAACCAACACAAGTGTGATTCCCTATAGTATATATGTATTTTTTTAAAAAACATTATTTTCTTATTTTAAAAGTTTTATACAGCCATTTTAGACAGTTTAAAAAATGGAGAACATGAAAAGAAATGAAGTTCCCATTAGGTAACCTCACCATCCAAAGGTAGCCACATCAGTGGATCCACCTTCCATGCTCCATCTTTAAGCCATACAGATAGAAAACTAGTTGAAGTCATTCTGTAATCAGGTTTTATTAAATTAGTAAGACATAGCTGTTGACAGATTATAGACTAAATATATGAAAGAATGCCTTGTTAAATTTGTTTTCCTCTGAGTGCTAAGAAATATTCAGAAATTTGAATAATTTATTTAAAATAATTAAGAAAGCATTATATTATTTAAGTCTAGATGGCTTATATTGATAAGCAAAAAAAAACCCCAAAAATAAACAACCTAATCACCTCTAATCTCAATCCCTAAAGATAACCAGTTAATATTTGTTATTATTTTACATATGTAAATTTTAATTTTTTAAAACATGTTTCATGACTTTTTGAATTTTTCAGTGTTTCTTTTATAGATTTATTAATTTTTTGCTTGTCTTTCCTCAATTTTTAAGGCAATTTTTCATTTCCTCTTTATGGGCTTCTATCATATGCTTTGGATATATGCTTGAGAGTGATATAGCTGGATTTTGAGGTAGATCTATTTCCTGAGGAGCCACCACACTAATTATCACAAAGGGTATACACAAGTGTGGGTATACAAGTGTGCACTACCACAAACAACATTGAGTGTTCCTCTTACCGCACATCCTTAACCACAAGATCTGTTATTTGTTTTATTGGCCATTCTAACATGAAATATTAAAGTAGTTTTTATTTGCATTTCCTTGATGACTGAGGATTTTTGAACATTGAAGTGTTCTCAGACATTCTTTTGAGAATTCTCTGTTTACATCTGTACCCCACTTTTTTAGTTGGGTTATTTGTTTTCTTCATGTTGTTTTGTTTTTTTGTTTTTGTTTTTAGTTCTTTATATATTTTAGCTATTAACCCTCAGGTGGATGTGGATATGTGGGGTTCTTTTGTTTTGTTTTTTAGATTTAACATTTTGCTTAACTGAGGTATTCTACCTTGTTCTCAAAACCTGGGGTTCTCTCTCTTATCTCTTGTACTCAGATAAGTAACACTTAACCTCTGATATTTTGTTTGACTTCCTATGTTTCTCCTATGACTTCCCCTCAGTTTAGGTTTTCTTTCGTGATTCTATTTCTACTTTCATGTCTTGAACTGTTTTCATTCCATTATTTGTGTTTTCATAGACTTCATTAAGATGTCCATTTCCCCTTAGGGTCCTTGAACATGTTCTAACACCTATTTTGAAGTCCTCATCTTGTGCTTCCTCTATATTGCATATCTCATGTCCAAATGTAGTAGTGTTGCTTGGTTCTGGTTCAGACATACTGCCTGCTACTGATTGTGTTTTTATGTTGGTGTCTAGGCATCTGGATTTGGGTGATTGTAATTGTAACCTTTGGTAGTTGGTCTTGTCTTTTTTGGGTGGTGTTTTGGTCCTTGTTTTCTGCTGCCCTCTTAGGTCTTAGGATAGTGTGGAGTGCTTGTGAGCTGCCTGGGAGGGAGTGCTTTTGAGTCCCTACCTGGTGTTGCCACTGAGAGTCCCTGGTAGAATGTTTTTCTAGCTAGTGGGGGTTGGCAGAAAAGAATAGGGATGGATGGCCTAGAAGGGGTGCCAATATGGTGCACAGGTAGGAGGAAAGTTGGGTGTGCCTTGAGGCTCACCTGAATTCCCGGGAGTGGAGCCAGCTAGGAAGGCTAGCCCCTGCAGGTGGTCTGCTGTGGGGCTGGGTATGAGACTGGGGAATTGGAAATGGGGACAGTAAGGAGAGTGAAGATCGCCTGCTTGATTCCCAGTCCTCTGGCCACCATCGCCAGTCAGTTCCCAGCTAGAGAGTCTTTGGTTTTTGTTGTTGTTTTTGAGACAAAGTCTCACTATGTAGTCCTGGCTGGTCTGGAAGTCACTGTGTAGACCAGGCTGGCCCCCAATTCACAGATATCCATGCGCCTTTGCCTCCTGAGTGCTGGAATTAAAGGCATGCACCACCTCGCCTGGCTGACAGTCTTTACTTTTCAAAGCAGTCTCACCAAGTCTCCCCAGCTGCTCTTGAACTAGAAGGAGCTCTAGAGAGCTGGGATTATAGGCCTGTGCCACCAGCCTTGGCCCAGGACTCTTCTTTCAGTATTTCTCATCAATGCAACATTTAAAAGCAATCAACCTATTTTCCAACTAGAAATGAAAACTGTCATGTTTAGGGATTTTTTAAACTTTGGTAAGCTATTTTGCGTATTGCTGACTTTGAATAGGACATCCTTATGGACATTTTCCAGTTTGTGTGTGACTTGTGAAAAATGCACAGTATAAAGATGATTATTTCAACTGCTTTTAGGTGTGCACTTTTCTCATTAGGTATATTATTTACAATTATAGTAACTAGCATTCATCTCCTGATTTTTTTCCTCTTCTGGTTCTCAGCTGAAACTTTATCTGTGGGTGCATTGCTTCTCCTTTTTAGCCATGGTAAAGAATGTGTCTGTGAACATGGATATGCAGATATCTCTTTGAGTCTTTGTCTGTAGTTCCTTTGAATATATGCTTAACAGTGGAACTGCTGAATCATATTGTAGCCTCCTTTTTTTGAGACCGTGTATCCCAGGGTGGTGACCCTGAAGTCCCGATCTTCCTGAGTGCTGGGAATGCAAGCACACACCACATGCCTGTTTTTATGTGGTTTTGGGGATCTAACTCAGAGCTTTGTGTGTGCTAAACGAGTACCCTACCAGCTGAGATCCATCCCCTGCTCTGGGGCTCTGTTTATTATTTTGAGGAATTGTCATACTGTTTCTTACAGGGACTGAACTGTTGTCACTGGTGAGTTCTTCACATTTTTACTAGTAGTTTGTTTAAAATGGAAATGATATCTTATTGAGTGTGAACTGATGCTTTATTGTAGGTTAGATTTCCATTTCTGTAAAGATTGATGATGTTGAACTTGTGTCATGTGCTGAATTGGCCATGTGTGTATGTGTGAAGAAGCTAGTCCAGCCCCCTGCTAATGTCGAGCAGCCTGGGTTGTGTTGTTAGGGATTCTGGGTATCAGTTCTTACCTCTTCTTCTAGTAGATGTTCCTCTGTATTTTCTTCCCGTGTTCTTGTAGTTTAGTTATAATGATGTTTAGGTTTTTTATCTGTCTTTAGCTAATCTTCCTATGAGGTGCAAGTAATAGTTCAACTTCAATTAAAATTAGTATAACAAATAATCTAGTTGTCAAAACACATCTTGTTGAGTGAGTACTTTTCTCCATTGAATTTTTTTTGGGGGGGAGGTGGGAGGGGGATTGAGACAGGTTCTCATGGAGACCATGAGACCAGGCTTCCTTTGAACTCACAGTATACTGAGTTCTGATTCTCTTGTCTTTGTATCCAAAGAACTGGGATTTCAGCTGCTGTGACTGGTAATGTACAGTATTAAGGTTTAAAAAAGGGTCTCCTACGTGCCTCTTGCATGTTCTTGACAGTTTTGTAAAAAAAATAACTAGATGGTGTTTGGTGGAGCATATTTCTGGGTTTCATTTATCGATCTGTATGTCTGTCATAACACTCATGACTGTACTTCTATAATACATTTAAAATCAAACTGTGTGCATCTTCATGCGCCTCCCAGGATTGTTTTTGGCTATGGCCAGTCAACATGTTTTCAAATTGTACTGAGTTACATTGGTACCATGCTGCCCAGACTGATTGTGAACTTCAGTTTCTTTTGCCTTAGGTCTTATGTTCCCAAATAGCAAGGACTTAAGCAGCACACACCTGTATGCTATGACTATGTCAGAAAGCTTTTAAGTCTGGTCACATTTGACTCATCCTAGATGCCCATTAAAATAATTATAAAGTTTTATGTGAATAGAATGAAATTTTACTCAGAGCTGCAAAGAAAGAAAATAAATCAGAGTTAAAAGAAAATATCACGCCGGGCGTTGGTGGCGCACGCCTTTAATCCCAGCACTCGGGAGGCAGAGGCAGGCGGATCTCTCTGAGTTCGAGGCCAGCCTGGTCTACAGAGTGAGTTCCAGGACAGCCTCCAAAACAATACAGAGAAACCTTGTCTCGAAAAACCAAAAAAAAAAAAAAAAAGAAAAAAAGAAAATATCACATGACTTCTCTTATGCAGGATCTAGATTTAAATTATGTTACACATGTATGTATGTTGGCCATGAAAGTAAAGAGTACCATGGGAGGGAGAAGAAGTCTGCAAGGAGAGGAGAAGGGAAGCAAGAGAAGGCAATAAAATTCTTATGTAACGTGGCAGTGGGAGGGAAATGAAGGGGACCAGCAAGGAAGAGGTGGTTATGGGGACAAAGAACTATGGGGAGGGTAAATGAAAACAAAATATAATGAAATCTATGTGAAAATTCTATAATGAAGTCCAGTTACTTTATATGATACCAATTAAAACATGAAAAGTACACATTTAGTATTTATACATTAAATGTATATCAATATTCTAATTTATTCTAGAGATACTATAGCATGTCATTGTGATTTAGTCGTTTATTTCCCATATTTTTTGTGGTGCTAGGGCTCTCAGGGTTAGTATTCAGGCATCTGTACTGGCCTGTCCTTGGGGTTCTGACAGGGTATGCTCTCAGCTGCAGGCACTAAGAGCACCACCTGTGCACATTCACTGTCTTCCCTTTTAAAAGGGCCCTGCCCACCTCCCATCCTGTCCTCTCTCCTGCTGCTCCTGTCTCTGGAGGCCAGTCTCTCCCCTTCCCTTTTCCCTTGTTATGATTCATTTCCCTAATGAAAAGCCCCTCTACTTGAACCCTGTCGAATGGTGTCTCTCTCACGCTGCCAGCTCACAGCAATACATTTCCCCTCCAATTAATTTGTTTAATCAAGACACATACACAGAGTAATTTGGAATAAGAATTTATTTTAAAATGCATAGAAGTTGAAAAGTTATAATTATACTTTCTATAGGTGTCTACCCAGCATTAAAATTTTTAGTTGGTGTATTATGCATTAAATTTTAGACTTCTTGTGATATTAAATTTTGTGTACAACAGTTAGAAAATATTTGAGAGCAGGGAAGATGGTTCATGATGAACCACTTGTTATACAAGTGTGAGCACCGGCGTTTGGATCCTCAGAACCCATGTAAAAGCTGGGTGTGCTAGCATACGCACATAACCCTGGTACCAGTGCGCAAAAGCAACCAGTGTAGAGGAAGTGATGGATTTCAGTTTCAGCGAGAGACACCATCTCAGAAAATAAGATGGCAAAGAATAAAGGCCATGCCTGAAATCACCTCTACACATACATGCGCAGGGTGAGCACACACATGTACCACAAACATTGTAAGTTTGCTCTTCTCCATATCCGGAAAGATGAATGCCTGCCAGTATTTGTTGTTGTTTTCTCACTGTGAAAAACAATAGAGAAAAAATGCTTTGTGTCTAGGTATTTTTCACAAAGAAGGAAATCATTGAATTGCAGCATGTAAGGAGGCAGGACTTTTTTTGTCCCATAGTTCGAGGAGGGAGATAGTTGATCATGGTGGAGAAGATGTACATGGCAGCAAACAGAGAAATTACTGGGACAGGAACAGGAAGCAGGGCCAGGCTATAAACTTCAGGACCGACCCTCACTGACATACTTTATACTTTCTCCAGCAAGGCTCTACCTCCTAAAGCAGTGGTTCTCAACTTCCCTAATGCTATGACCTCTTAATACAGTTCATCATGTAGTGGTGGCCCCTAACCATAATTTTCATTGCTACTTTTTAACTGTATTTCTGCTGCTCTTATGAACTGTAATGTTGAGAACCGCTGCCCTAAAAGTCCACAGCACTCCCAAACAGTAATGCCAGCTGGGGAGCAAGTATTTAAACACATGAGTTTATGGAGGACATTCCACATGCAAACAACCACAATCCATTTATTCAACAAACATTTAACAGCTATGAGTTGCCAGGCAGTTTTGCTAATCCCATGGATACAAATCCCACGGATGCAAATATAAAATAGGACGTGTTTGAGAGTCCTAGTTTCATACAGAGGCACACAAAGCAAGCCTTTTGTCTTAGCGTTTCTGTTGCTGTGATAAATCACCATGACCTTAAACAACTTGGAGAGGAAAGGGCTTATTTTGCTTACACTTCCACATTAGAGTCGGTCAGTGGAGAAGTCAGTGCGGAACCTGGAGGCAGGAGCTGATGCAGAGGCCGTGGAGGGAGCTGCTTGCTTAGCCTGCCTTCTACCAGCACCCTGTCCCACCAGTCAAGGGGTGGCGCCACCCACAGTGAGCTGGGCCGCCTTTAATCATCAATCAAGAACATGCACCACAGGTGTGCTTACAGCCAGCGTGGTAGGGACATTTTCTTAATTGAGATTCCTCGTTCCAAAATGACTCTTGTGTGTCAAATTGACACACTACCAGCCAGCATATTATCATAAACACATCAAGTAGCCAGCTGATGGAAGCATAGAGAGGTTTCTTCTTGGGCACTTATAACTGGCTATGAAGCAACAGACAAGAATGAGTTGGGAGTTTTCAGGCTAAAAAAATGATATTCTGTCATTATAGAGTTGAAGGTATTCTTATCCTGACATAGAACATGTGTCTTAATCAGACTAGGATTTTCTTTCATGGTCACAGCTGATGATACAAACTCTTAGTTCCAGGGTCCCGCATGGAGGTTTTGCCAACATTATGGGTGGAAGTGGTTTGCAAAACTTCACAATTGCTGCTGTGCCATATACTCCAAATCTTTTACCAACTTCCAGCACATGGTAAGTTAAACTAACTTACTTAAATGAATTGTGAAACAGTTTTATTAATTTTAAAAGATCAAAGGTAATTGCTGTACTTCCTATTTGATGGTTAAAATGTTCAATTTACGTATATTTTACTATAATAGAGAAAAAGAAATAACAAAGCCTTCAGTAGTTACATTGAATTGCTTTGTTATGATCCTATTATCCTTGAAAAGGTATTTTTTTTACTTCATTAAAATCTAAAATGCGTAAATCCCCCTTCTACCTCCTGTGCCTCCCGTATACTCCTCCTCACTCCCAAATTCATGGAGCCTCTTTAATGTTGCCATGTACACATGCAAATGAATGTTGAGGTCTGTTCAGTATTGATTTTCTGTGTTTCTAGGGTTGACTATTGGTACTGGAAAACCAGCCAGGGAGGGAATTCCTGGGAAAGACTTAATTCTCTCTCTCAGCAGTTGCTTGCTTATAACTCTTCATCTATGGGTAGAACCTTCTACTTGGGATGCCAACTGTTGTTGGAATTGTTTAGGTCTTGTTTAGACAGCCCTATTGTTGAGATTCGTGACAGGCTGCTTCCTTGTTATAGCTTTATGTCATAGTCTCACAGCAGATTTCCTGGTTCCTCTGTCTCTTCTGGTCTTTCTAGCCCCTCTCTCTTGATATTCCCTGAATCTTAGGTGCAGGAGTTGTTAGTAGATGTATCACTTGGAGCTGAGCACTCTACAGTCAGCTGTTGTCTGCACTGAGACTAATGGCTTTCTGTCATGCTCTCCATCTGCTGTAAAAAAAAAAAAAAAAAAGCAGCTTCTTCGATGAGGGGTGAGGTCTGCACTTACCGGGGTCTGTGCCACATGTGTTGGCTGTGGTTCCTGGAAGAGAGAAGGTCTGAGGTCTCAGTGACTCCCGCAGCAAAGGAGATGGAATGAGAGGAGGGCCTGATGCTGGCAACCGTGGCAGAGCTATGGGAACCCTGGCTGCCTGCCACACGTGGTCTGCTGTGATTCCATAATGAAAGGAAACTGCACCATAATCTTTCTCAGAATTTTGGAGCTACAAGTGAATCAGTGGTTACATAGTTTTGCTCCTTTTTCAGTAGGGACCATTTGGGAGGGAGACACAAACCCCCTGAAACTTAATTGAGTATCACTGAAGTTAAAATGGCGTATCAGTGCATCATCACTTGTGTGTATATCACCATGACTTTTAAAGCTGAACATTTATTTTCATGCACTACATTTGCATTCTGAGAGGAACTGCATTGCAACAGTTTTTTTCCTTCCTTCAGGGGTTTCCAATTTCAATGCAAATTTGAGAGAGTGGTTTTATGTTAATTATGAGCAGTGTTTTCACTGCTAGATAAAACAACAAGAAATTTCAGAGATTCTCTGTTTAATGATAGTACTTTTTTTTTTAAAGCATCAACATGCTCAAGTTACCTGAATACCCAAGTAAAGAAATACTCAAGGACAGACTCCTGGTGGCACTGCATTGTGGCAGCTATGGTTACACAATGGCGTGATGAAGACGAAGAGCTCACCTAACTACTGTGCAGAAACAGAGTGGCAGAAGTCATTTAGGGCATGTGGGCAGAAGCAGCCTCAGTGCAGCCCACAGACAGAGCTCCTGTTTAAATCCATAAAGGACTGGACTTTCCACTTTACGTCTCTCCTTGCTTTGTTTTCTCTGTTCGTGTTATAATAAGAAAATACAAAATCATAGTAGACTTCATTTTTAAAAATGCTAATTGGAAGTAGACTATTTTTAAAGAGTCTTTAGTCTTACCCCAAACTGTATTAAGGCAGAATATTTTTTTACATTCCACCTTTGCTGTGAATCGTTCTCATTTAAAGGGTATTTTCTGTATATTATATGAGGGCATCCAGCTGGTATGTTCTATCGCATGTAAAGTACCATTTATATTTTGGAAAACTGTTGTATAGAATGGATTAATTTAGATTGTGTAAAGCCACAAAAATGTATTTTCCCACACTATACCTATATCCAATGGGTTTTATTTTTTGTTGTTGATTAGCTTTTTAGTATTTTGATATATGATGTTAAATTTAGACTAGTGTGACTAACAATGGGTAAAGTGACATCTAATTTATATATTAAAGCTTATGCTATATGAATTGTTTGCATCTTTCTGTGCTCAATTTCATGTGTATATAGTGTGTGGTCTCAGTTTTTTCTTATGCCTTAATTTATAATGAAAATAAAATTGAAATATATTTATCATATTTCTTTTCATTACTTGATCTAAACTTGATGACACATTTGAAAAGGTAATATAATGTGCAGATTATAATTTAAATGTGTAATGTTGTCTTAGATCTGCTTGTATGATTAAAATGCTATGTTTAAGTGAATCTGTCCGATAGATAGCATTGAACAGGCATTTTGGAAAAGTCACACTGGCCCCGGTAGAGCATGAGTAGTTATAACCTGACTTGAAGGGGGAGGCAGGAACATACATACAGATGTGCTGGTGGAGGTGTTTCTGATGTCTAGAGCTCTTGACACTGGGAAGCAAATAAAAGACCTGGTGGCATCTTGGATAAAATGACACATGAAACGTTTCTCATTAAGCAGACTGTATTTGTGCAGTGATATTTGAAACAGATACATTGAAAGTAGCAAATTAGAACTCAGAATACACACACAAAAATGTATCATTTGGGGTCTTGCTTTATGCTTTATTTGGTTTTTCAAGACAGGGTTTCTCTGTATAATAGTTCTTGGCTGTCCTGGAACTCGCTCTGTAGACCTGGCTGGCCTCGAACTCACAGAGATCCACCTGCCTCTGCCTCCCAAGTTCTGGGATTAAAGGTGCCCAGTTTATTTTTTTTAATTTTTTTTAATAGCAGAAGATAACACATTGCATTAAATAGTCTTTTAAACTTACAATTAGCTCTAAAATTAATATTCAAATACTTTTTTCCTAATTACATAAAGGCCACACTACCTTGTTAAAACAACAGACTTAGCTTTTGAGACTGTAACTGACTTTATTTGTGATTCTATAATCCAGTAGTTCTCAGCACCAGGACATAGACCAACAGTTTTGGTGTGGTCTCTGCACGATGCTCTGGTTGGAACCAGAAAGAGCTAGAAGCAGCTGTCCTTATAGCTCTGCATTTGCTGTGTAGGACAATTTAAGCAGTTTAAGTGTCTGGCCCCGCAGTTGACCACAGCTCTACAGTTGGGATTCTGTTGTTTGTGTCCTGAATTAGGGTACTATTGTCAGTATGGAGTTAGAGTACAGACTATGTGGGGGTCACAAGATGGATATAGTCTAATTCTCCCTCTCAGCTATCTTATAGCTGAGAGATTGCCAAAACTTACAGGCATTGTTCCTTTTGTCACCATCATAAATGGACTTGTTTGATCTTAGTGTGGACTTCAGTGGTCAGTATCGTAGGGATTGAGTAGGGAAATATAATAGTTATCAGTTGGATAGTATTCTTATGATGTAGGTGATGTGAGGCCATTCGGCAGTCAGTGAATGCAAGCATTTAAGATGTGACAGAGTACATTTCATGGGACTGTTATGGAGGATAATCCTAAAAGACTAGAGCTTTCTTGACAAGAGTAAAGTGAACAGTTGGCACAGTATCTGATCCAGTCTACGCAGAGTGTGATGGTGTTATGGTAAAAACGGATCTTATGGACTATTAGGGCTGAAATGAGTTTGGGAATGCTGTGGAGGTAAGTAGCTTATAGCTGGCTGTGAGACAGCCTGGCTGACTAGGCAAGAGGAAAGGATGGCGCCATCAGAACCCAAGTCCTTGGTAGCTTCTAGCTGTTTCCCATGAAGCCCCTCTTGAGCAACATAGGGAAAACATTGCCTTTCTCGTACTCTCAATGGTAGATAGAAATGGCTTCTAAGAAGCTTTACCTATTTCAGGAAGGAGAACACCTTAGGCTGCCCTGCAGACAGAACTACATACGAAGTAGCCAGGAAAAACTGCAGCTCCCTCTTGGTAGTGATGGTAAGAGCAGTGCACATGAGGGTGGATGGTAAATGCAAGTTGGCTTCTAGTCTAATTAACAGCTGGCAGACTTGCCAGGGTGCAACACCTGCAAGGCCAGTCACTGACAACAGCCAGGATTAACTGTGAAGGAGCCATCCAGAGATGGGCATGACCCCTCTACTGGGTGAGCAGTGCATGGTCATCTCCCAGGTTAGGCTAAGAGGATGCGTCAGTACCATGTGGACCCTCTTCGACTTGGCTCATCATATGCCCAGGGAATTAGTCTCTCAGTACAAGGTATCTGCCTAGTTTCTGCAGTAAGTCCTATAAAAAAAAACCTCTAGGTGAACCATTCCATGGGCAGTCCCTCTTCAGGAACACTTCAAGAACAGGCTTTAAGGTGTCCTATGTAGGAGAAAAACACTGCCGCCATTAACCATGTGACTTACTAGAGGCACATACCGATGAGGTAATAAAAGAGCGGTTTACCACACCACTAACGACACCCACTTTAGGCATGACTAAAGACGTATACGGACAGGCGTAAAGACGTATACAGACGTAGACGGTGAACTACGTCACTAGCCAGGCCCACTTTTGGTCATGGCTAGGGACGTTACGGGGGGGGGGGGGGGGGAGAGGGGAGATATAAAAGACTGAACAACGGAAGTCTTGGTCTCTCTTTTTCCGGCTTTTGGCTTCCAGTTCACCGGCGGAAAACTACTCGGCTCATCTGGGTTACTTGTTTGGTATCTTGTGAGTAATTTCTACAATAAATACTTAGTTTTACTTTCAGTAAGTGTGCCGTTTATCGTTACAGCATCAGTCGTATATGCACAAGCTATGCCTAGTATGACATACAGTTTCTTCTGCTGCCTGTGGATCAAGATGTAGAACTCTCAGCTCTTTCTCCAAGTCTGCCTGCATCCTGCCATGACAATAATGTACTAGACCTCTGAACTATGAGTCAGCCCCAATTAAATAATTTTCATTATAAGAGTTGCTTTGGTCATGGTGTCTCTTCACAGCAATAGAAAGTCTAACTAAGACACCAGGTGAGTGAGCTGTGTTGTAACAGGGAAATGATGGCTGTATCACATTTCTCCAAGAATTCCTCCAAGGGGAATTCTAAACAACTCTTCTGTTGGTGTTGTAGCATGAAACTAATTGTACAAGATAATCAGGAAATATGCACTAAAGGTAAAACAACCTACCGGGTTAGAAATTTACCTATTATCTGTCCAAAATTATAGGTTTGACAGACCAAGCATTGACCATAAATCATTTTAGCAGTTTTAGAAGTCACCACACTATTTATTCATTTATTTATGTAATAGTTTGGACCATTTTATCTCTAACGATGGTCACTTGAAGGACTCAGGCTGTTATTCTCACTCTCAGGGATTCCTGGATTAGTAGTCAATTTCTATCTTAAATGCAAATTTTACTATTCAGTCCAGAGTCATGGGACTGTTTATTCAATAGGTTATCTTGAGTAATTTGACTCGGACTGGTCTTAAAGACTTGAGATTTAAATTCTTTGACTTCACATGTGCATATTATACAGTTATTTCAGAACAAAATTTCACAACAAAACTGTAGATTTTTTAAAGATGTCTTACTTTCATTGCCTATCAATTCCCAAATATTCAATAGAATTCATGATAATCTTAATTGATAGTGAAAACTTAGGAAGTAGTTTTGAAAAAGTGTGGGTGTTTTGCCTGTGTGTATGTCTGTGCACAGTGTGTGTGCCTGACACCTGCAGTAGCCAAAGACAGCATTGGATCCCCTGGGCCTGAAATTACAGGTGCTTGTGAGCTAACATGTAGTTTTTGGTAATTGAATCTGAGTCCTCTAGAAGAGCAGCTATCTCTCCACCTCCTTTGGAAGTGATTTTTTTCTTATCTATATGGTATGCCAGTATTTTATGAATATATATATATGTGTGTGTGTGTGTGTGTGTGTGTGTGTGTTTCCTAATGTAGAGACTCCTATTCTCCTAGATGAATTCTATTCTATTAGTTGTTGTTTGGTGGTGATGAGAGTCAAACCTGGAGCCTCATATAGTTTAAGTAAGGATGAGCTTTCCCTGGTCATTTTATTCCCATGTGCGACAGTAAATACATTTTTGCCTTAAAATATTTACTATGATGTATGTGGGTGTTTTGCCTGCTTGCATATCTATCCACGCACCAGATACATTCTAGTGTCCTCACAGGACAGAAGATTCCTAAAGGACTGGAGTTAGGGATGGTTCTGAGGCACCATGTAGGTGCTGGGAATTGAACTCAGGTCTTCTGGAAGAGCAGCAAGTGCTTTTAGCTGCTGAGCCATCACTTTCCATGGTTTCAGTTAACCTGTGGCTAATACTAGTCCACAATTACTAAATGGAATTTGTTCCAGGAGTAAATAATTCATAAGTTTTAATTGACTGCATGATAAATATTGCACCATTCTACTGTGTCATCTGGAGGTGAACCTTGATCCATCATTTGTTCTGTGTGTGGTACCCACTCATTAGCCACTTGGCTATTTCAGTTATCAAATTGTTACTGAACTTGGGGGTCACAAGTGTACCCCAACAACCCAATTAAAATAGCCAAATTTATAGTAAAAAGGAGATTGAAGAGATATAAGGACCCCCAGGTTCATCTCTGGGGTCTTGATATAAGAGTAGGGTTTAAGTAGAAAGTAAGAGATATAAATTAGTAAGCAGTCTGGCCAAAGTGTGGTCCCTTGCCCACCTCTGTCCCAGCTCTTAAGTCTTGCCTGCTGAGTCAACAAACAAGTTGTAAACCCTTCTCCAGAAGACATTTTATTTCTCTGGATGGCTCTAGGCCTTCAGTCCCATAGGAGATTCTCAGGAATATTAAAATTTCTTGGAGTCCATTCTTTCAGTAATCTGATAGCCAAAGAAGGAGCAAAGTAGTCTCTTCAGCACACTCCTGCCAGACAGGTGGTTACACAGTCAGCTGATATAGTGTGGCTACCAGAGCTAGGTGAAATGTATGATTGCTTTTACTGTTTTCACTCTTGAGGGAGAAAAGTGAGATAAGGTAACTATATAGCTAATGTAAACTCCAAATAAATTAATTGCCTAGGTGCAGAGTTGAGCCTAGGACTGGACAGATTCACACCAGACTTTATCAAATTTTTAAGAAATACTAACACCAGTGCTCTTCAAACTGTCCCATGAAATAGAAGAAGGAACATTACCAAACACGTTCTAATAAAACAGTATTCCACACAAGCTAGATAAGGAC